CTTTAAAAAAAAAAAAAATTATATGACTGGGGCTGGGGGGGCGGGTTGGGGCAGAAGGAGAGAGAGTCTCAAGCAGACTCCACGCTGAGCGTGGAACCTGATGCAGGGCTGAATCTCAGAACCCTGAGATCACAACCTAAGCCAAAACCAAGAGTCCGACGCTTAACCAACCATGCCACCCAGTTGCCCCAAAATGTCTTACCACGATTTGAACAGAGTATAGTTTAGCCCTGCCTGATTTCTGACTTTCATTTGGTATGCTGACCTCTTAACAAATTTTACTTTCCTGTCTAATAGGAAAAGAATTCTAAATACTATAATTACACCCTCTCTATCAATGGGAAGGCACGGAAGCATGGTGAGAACTACAGTGTGGACTACCTGACAGATGTTCTGGTGAGTTATCAAAGCTCTGTCCTTGCAAGTTTGGCTCAGAATTGATTGAAACCTCTGCTTAGAAAACCTTTGGACTTGGTCATGTTGAGTAATGTAAGTGAATAATAACTTCATTTACCTGCCAAAAATATTTCCAACTGATTAAAGACTCCTGAGGGCATTTTTCTTTGTATCTAAGCCAGGCTCAGAGTTAATGTTCTTGAAATTCCAGCAACAAATCCTTTTCCAAAGGCTAATCTCTAAGACTGTAGAGATTACTTTGAAGAGGTTTTACTTTAGAGGTTTTTACTCTTGACCCCAGATTCACTCACAGACTATGAGAGGACAGCTTCACCATGAGGATGGGGAGCTAGGGACTGGGAGTTCTTAAGGCTTTGTGGATTTCTATATAAAAATTACTGAAACTGGGTGAATTTAGGACTTTGCTTTCCTGTCTGAGGTGTTTCTAATGACAGCCCTCCACAGAGTATTTATTCACCAAATATTTCAGCACCCAGCATAGCAGGTGTTCAGTAAATGGAGCAGAAGCCCTCTTGGTGATCAGGTAGACAAATAAGGCAAGGTATGGGGGTTACTTAGATAACGTCTAAAGAGGTGAGAGTGACTTGTGCAGATCAGTGGAAAGGGTGCACAGACAGAGGGAACAACGGCTCTGGGGGCACTGAGGCAGAAGTGTGCTCTGCATGTTGGGACCACAGGCCTCTGACAGGGCTGGAGTAAGCAGGTGGGTGGGATGGTCAATATCCTTTGAGTTTAGTGGTGGGAATAAACAAGCTATAAATCAACTAGAACAATTAAGCGCATAGCATGTATGTGGGATGCTTTCATTTTCATAATGTATCTCCAGATAAGCAAATGAAAAATGTAAGTCAATATAAATTAAAATCCTGGTGTGAGGTATTTGGATTTAATGTTATTCATTTAGCTTAACTGCTTTAGCTGGCATAACTTATGATATCTACGCTCTGTATATTTTAAGAGTAAGGTAACTTAATCCACCTGTCCCACTGTGAATTAGATTGACTCTCTTTTTATATACTTTAAGGCATCAGAGGCATACTCTAAGCCGTATTAATGCAGCTAATCCTTAAAAGGCCAAATTACTATTTCTTTCCTTATGGGAGGCGTAACAATTTTTAGATCATGTATAATCACTAAGATCTTACTTGCTTTTTAGGATGGTATGCTTTTCCATTTTTTTAAATAAGTATTGCCTAAAACCCAAATATTTGTTCCAACAACACACTTGTAAATAACTGTGACATAGATTATGTTAATGTTAAGATTGTTAAAATTGGTTAAAATTTTTAAGACTGATTAAAAACTAATATGACCCTATACCTCCTGTATACCTGAGAGCATGCATCTCTCAAGTCCTGAACTGTTGGGTAAGATAGAAGATGACAGATCTTTGTATATCTCAGGCTAACATCTCTTTGGGCTTCCTGGACTACAAGTCCAACTCTGAGCCGTTCTTCATGATGATCTCCACACCAGCACCTCATTCTCCTTGGACAGCTGCACCTCAGTACCAGAAGACCTTCCAGAACGTCTTTGCACCAAGAAATAAGAACTTCAACATCCATGGAACGGTAGCTTCCCCTAACCCTTGAATTAAACACTTGATATAAGTAACTGTATATTACCTTGTTAGGGAGCCTTTGGGCCATGTAGTTGGTTTTCCTTCCAGATCTTTTAAAGGTAATTGTACCTATCTTGAGTATAATAGCATAAACTTGCTTCAGAAGGACAGGTAAGCTTCCTGCCACACATCCAGTTAGCTGGAGAGTCCACAGGAAATATTTAAAGAAATGCTATCTTTCTTGACTACAGGCTCTCCTGCTAATCTCTGTGCTGGCTCTCCTCCTATGTGGCAGTGACTGAGACATGTCCCATGGGGCTGAGCTAGGCCTGCAGCAGCCTTCTGTGGGTGGCCCTCACCGGGCCTGAGGCATAGGAAAGAAGGGGTGACATAGTGCAATATGATTAGAAAAGGAAGTTGAATGGAGAAATGAGCCAGAGCAGGGAATATAATTAAGGACCACAACCTAAATACTTGCCTAATATGCCAGTTACTTATGCTTTCCTTGGCACAGAGGGTATGCTGTTCACTGGTTCAAAGGCAGAAGTTCTGTACTGCCTTGTGCCTGTTGCCCAGAAATCTTAATTACTGGTGAGGTGTGGTAGGCAGAATGAGTCTTGGATTAGACTCAGCACTACCACTTTCGAGCCAAGTGACCTGACTGAGCGAGATGCTTAACTTCTGCTTTTCTATCTAAAGTGGGAGAAATAAATAAAGCGGGAGGTCCTCTTTCCTCGTGCAGCTGCAATATGGATTAAAGAAGATAGAAATATGCAGCACGTTGCATGGCACATTGTAGGCACATGTTTAAGTAGGATTTTTAAAGCTGAGAGAACTGAGTTTTGAACTAGAGGGCCATTCTCTATGTTCCGAAAGAAGTTAATAGAAGTTCCCTTAAGCAAGTAAGTTTAGAAATTTTAACTAAGTCACTCTATTACAGAATTTCTGAGAGTTATTCCTGTTCCAACATGGATTTCCAACAAGAGGATATGCTGTATAACGTTTCTCAAACATATTAACTAAGAACCCTTGGAGGCTGATAGTTTGGGAGATGGTAACTTAGGGCTTTATGAGTAGAGAGGAGAGAATTAATGATGTACGGGGAAGTTTTTGTTTTTTAGAACTGTGAGTGCTTTATTTAAATGACAAGAACCCTCTAGATTTGGGCTTGAGGTTTTAGGAAATTGCTATGATGAGATTTTTCCCAAGGTTCTAGGATAATCATTATCTTGGGTAGGAAAATAGAGGGTGATAGAATGATGGCTTATTAGGGCAAAACTTACTGGAAGGTAAAGTTAGTATTTACCCTTTTGTAGCTTGGGTAGTAGACCCAAAGCATAGACTAGGTGTTATAGATTGTCTCCTTTTAACCAGTAGTTTCCCAATATCTTTCACTAAATCTCTTGGAATGCTGATTAATGCTGCTAACAAGGAGCCCAGGCCTTCGGAGCTACTGGGAAGAAGCTAAAGAATGAGTGATAATCTGTAGAAAGTGTTTTTAGGAGTACATGGGGCAGGGGAGAGGAAATCTTAAGTTCCTTAAATGCTCCAGTAGGTTCCTTTTTGCTGAAGTATAAAATGCTCCTTTTCATTATGTACTCTAGTAGTTTATTTGATTGTAGTGACTTGGTGCTAACATTTTTTTTTTCTTTTAAATTTTAGAATAAACACTGGTTAATTAGGCAAGCCAAGACCCCAATGACTAATTCTTCAATACAGTTTTTAGATAATGCATTTCGGAAAAGGTAAGAGCTGCTACTTTCTCAATCGGGGTTGTCTTTGAGGACCCTCCAAATCAGCCCGTGAACAGGGGGCTGCACAATATGGTTATCTTTGAGACAAAATCAGAAGGTAGTGAGTTGGTGGGAGAGACTCTTTGATTGGGGGGTCTGCTGCCCCAGAAGGTGTAGGAGATGGTCTTTGGACCTCAGGACTAATAAAACAGTTCATTTTTATGACTTTTTAAAACATAATTGCAAGCTGGAGCCATTTGGTTAAAAAAAAAAATTTTTTTTTTCCCTATGTCTGAAGAAAAGGTCACTTTGTAAGAGCTCAGGCCCAATATTTGCATAAGACCCAAGGGTTTAGACTAGAGCAGAATATTTGCCATTGCTATTTGAAATTTCAAGGAATTTCTTTAAGTCAGTTCTTAAAAATTCATTACAGTCTCTTAAGATGTATTTAGATTATACCAGGGGCTAGCAAACTTTTTCTCTAAAGGGCCAGAGAGTAAATATTATAGCCTATCAGGCCAGACAGTCTTTGTCACAGTTGCCCAGCTTTGCTGTTGGAGTAAAACTAGGCAATATGTGAATGAATGAGCACAACTGTGTTCCCGTAAAACTTTATATAAAAATAGTGAGTTGTTTAATGGGTACAGAGTTTCAGATTTTCAAGAAGAAAAGCTTCTGGAGATCTGCTTCACTATGTGAATATACTTAATGCTATTGCTTGTACCCTTAAAATTTGTTAAGATGGTAAATTTTATGTTGTGTGTTTTTTATCACAATTTAAAAATAAAAACAGTGGGCAAACTGGCCCATCGCTATAGCTTGCCAACCCCTAGTTTAGACCCTTAAACGTTGTTGTGGCATGGGTCTATCTGAATTAATCTGTGCTCATCAGTACTGAATTGACGGCTTTCCCTTCCAGTTGTTTCTGCTCTCATCACCAGTGTTAATAAAACTGGTTATTAAAAGCCTCGTTTATTTCTTTGGGAACAGTTAAATTTATAATGAACTAATTGTGTTCTGGGATTTCCTAATCTTTTTTTTTTTTTTTTTCAGTGAGTGGTCTGAGGAAAGGAAGTTTGGGATTTGAGCTTTTGGGGAGCGTGGTTTGGGGGCTTTGGGTGGTTTTGTTTTGGACTTCTGCTTTTTTGGCAAGATAGCATTCCTTCAGCCATTGTTTCTGAAATCCCGTTGTCACCCTCTGTGTACATCCAGGTGGCAAACTTTACTGTCAGTTGATGACCTTGTGGAGAAACTGGTCAAGAGATTAGAGTTCAATGGGGAACTTAACAACACGTACATCTTTTATACTTCAGACAATGGCTATCACACAGGTAAGGGCAGACTGGGGTGTTCCCGTGGCCTTGATGAGGTGCTTTTCCTTTTTCACCCAGTCAGTAGCACTAGCAGGGAGCTCTAGGCCTGTTGTAGCAATGGATAGGCCAGAGGGGGAGGATGCTGCCCTCAAGACCCCTCTGGTTGGAGGGTCAACTCATTCGCACATGGAAAGACCAGGTTTCGTTATTTGTTATTTCATGTGCCAAGTTACATGATGTACTAGGAGTTGGGAGCAGAGAGTGAGCTTGCTAGGTTGGAGGCAGGCTTTAGGAAAAAGGTAAGAAACTGAACTAGATTTATTTTTTTTAAAGATTTTATTTATTAGAGAGGGGGAAGGAGGGAGCACAAGCAGGGAGAGTGGTAGAAGGAGAGGGAGAAGCAGACTCCCTGGGGAGCAGGGAGCCCCATGCGGGGCTCCATCCCAAGACCCTGAGATCATGTCCTGAGCCCCGCAGGCAGGCGCTTAACCAACTGAGCCACCCAGGCCCCCCAAAACTGAACTAGATTTAAAGGGCAAGTAGACCTTAGAGACTAGGGGTAAGAGATTTTATACAGAAAGACCAAGAGAAGGTTGTCTTGGGGGAAAACCCCTTTCTTGTGAAATTGTGAGATGTTTTATTGATTTTGTGTGTGTGTTTGTGTGTGGATATTTGTGGTTTTATGTTTTGTCTTTTCAAAACTATGTATGAGTCAACCCCATATCCTTGACTTTCCTTTTTTCCACTTGGATTTTCTTAAAAATGAATGTCTTCTTTCCCCAGCTATCAATTTCATAAACTTGAAAACTACTAACCTGAGGCTTGCTTGCATAGGAGCAGATTGATGAGGCATTTAATGTTTTGTTGTGAATATTTTTAAACACTCAAAGTAGAGACTAATAAAATGACTTCCATTTCCAGCTTCAGTTTTCAGCTACATGTGGCCAGTCTTTCGAATTTTTCCTACCTTCCCCATGTTTGTCTTTATTTAGCTTAGAGGGTTTTGAAGAAACTTCAGACATTGTGATCCTGTACATCAACACTACATTGTGCATCTGACTAGTTTATTATGTATCAGGGCCTAGACAAAGTCCACATGCTGTCTGTATTTATTATGTGCCCTGAGGCTGGTTATTGCCACTGATTTATTGGGAAGAGTTTTTGTTGTTGTTGTTCTTTAGAATATCTCACATTCTGGGTTTGGCTAATTGCATTCTTGTGATGCTTTAACTTGTGTTTCTGTAGTCAGCATTTTCTATAGATTGGTAGTTAGATCTAGAGTCTTAATAGAAATGGACATTTTCAACGAAAATGCTTCCTTGGTGATAATGATAGTACTTCCTGTTACATCACTTCATGCTTCATGGTGGTGTCTGGTTGACCCACTTGATCGATGCTGCTATTAATCGATGGCTCATGGGGTGTCAGCCTGGGCCTGTCCTATGAACCTTTTGTGGCCGAAGCTTCCGTTGATGATTGTTGCTTTTTTAATCCACTATTCTCTCAAAAATGGCAAAATGATGACTTCATAACCCTGTCCTTCCTTTTGCATTTATTAGTTGGAATTCCTTAGAGAAGAACTCAACTGTTTGGTTATCTTGAAATGCAGTTTATTCAGGAAAGGCCAGATAAATGTTTTTGTCCCTTTATTTACAGTTTTTAGAGTAACCTCATTCAATTGTAGTCAGGTTGAGTATCATACATAAATGATGTATTTGTGTTTCAGTACTTTCCAGTCTGTTTTTGCTGAATTTGTCCTATCTTAGACCAAGGAGTCTCCCTAGTCTTTTGTTTAAAGATGAACTCATGGGGCGCCTGGGTGGCTCAGTCGGTTAAGCATCTGCCTTCGGCTCAGGTCATGATCCCGGGGTCCTGGGATCGAGCCCCACATCGGGCTCCCTGCTCAGTGGGGAGCCTGCTTCTCCCTCTCCCTCTGCAGCTCCCCCTGCTTGTGCTCTCACTCACATGCTCTCTCTCTCTCAAATAAATGAATAAAATCTTTAAAAAAAATAGAAAAAGAAAGATTAACTCATTTCCTGCCTTGTAGTAATAAGAGACCCAAGCAATTGTAAACTTTCCATTAAAGCCCCATAAACAGTAGAACAGAGTTGTTTTCATTCTTACTGTCGATTGAGTGAATGTGTGAGTGACACTTCTGTCCTGGCTCCTGGTTCCATCTTTACCCTCTGTATTTTGTTTTCAGGACAGTTTTCTTTGCCAATAGACAAAAGACAGCTATATGAGTTTGATATCAAAGTTCCACTCCTGGTTCGAGGACCTGGGATCAAACCAAATCAGACAAGCAAGGTAGGTGCCTGAGAAACTGATGATGTTTACAGGTAGCACTTGCCTGAGGAAAGAAGGCTGCTTCTCTGAAGAGGAGGCTGATTAGATTTCTCTTCCTACGAGGATGAAGTCTGATCAGCTTAAGATCTTGTAAGTGTATTAATAAGCCTTGGAGATGGTGATTCTCTTTTTTACTTTTATTTTTTTAACTCCTGGGCACCTTCTATTAACTGTATTCCCCCCCCCCCCCGATATATACATATCCTATCAGTATGAGTATCTTTTATTTGTCCTTCAAGACTGTAAATCTTTACTTTGTCCTGGAGCAGTGACTTTCCACCGGGGTTCTCATCAGCATCACCTTCTGAAACTGTGAAAGGTTCAACATCCAGAATGGTTCTAATGGACTCACTTGGACTAGAATAGAGACCCAGCCTCTGCTTTTTTTTCTGCAGCTCACAGATAATTCTGAGAGGCAGCCCAGTTTGGGACCCACTATCCAGTAGATCAGAACTCCTCGGGCTGATCGCCCTAGGGACCTTGTTAAAATGCAGATAGAGATTCTGATTCTGCATTTCTGACCTCCCAACTGATAGCTGCTGCGGGTCTGACCTCTCTGAGTATAAAGCTATAGAAAGCATGTCTTCTGAGGATTTCGTCCCTCTTTCTGTGGGACTCTTCCTCACTAAAGCATTTTTGTTTTACTGATTCTCTCTCCTAGAACTATCATAATGTACCACTTTCTTTTGTTGCCATTTCCATTTGGTTTCAGTATCTTTTTCAAACTGGGTACCTAATACTGAGGCACTTTGTTCCTGGAGATTGGGGGCACTCTGATCCAAAACACTTTGGTCTAATGCTTGGAAGATAAGAATTGATAAGCTCTACTGGTTATGTCTTCTTTTCTCTAATAACACAGTTTCAGTCCCAGCTCTGTGAGACAAAAGAAAATGAGCAAATACATCATTTAAGCTAAAATTGGAAAATGGGCCAGACTTTCTGGGTATACTAGGTACTTTAGTCTAATTTGGGGTTTAATGTTTAAGTGTCTATAATTCACTTCTTTTTGTAATGCTCATGATGGAATTATGTTGAAATTCTTTCAGAAAGGTAAAATGGCCTTCATAATTTCTTTTGAGTTTTCTTTTTTTCTTAACACCTACATTCCTAAAGCCACTCACTTCCCACTACAAATTCAATACCCTGTAAATGGTCTCCTTTCAAAGGAGATAGGTGAGTTTGGAGGACCATTAAGTCTTTTTTTAAAAACTTTATTTATTTGAATTTTTTACTTTTACAGTGTATTATTTGTTTCAGGGGTACAGGTCTGTGATTCATCAGTCTTATTTAATACCTAGTGCTCATTACAACACATACCCTCCCCAGTGTCCATCACCCAGCCACCCCATCCCCCCACCCACCTCCCCTCCAGCAACCCTCAGTTTGTTTCCTGAGGTTAAGAGTCTCTTATGGTTTGTCTCCCTC